CCCCAAAACCCCAAAACCCCAAAACCCCAAAACCCCTTATCAAATTTAAGAAATTGAAGATCTGATAGCTATATATTCAGGTTCTTGCTCATGTATTTCAAAGAACCTGATGATTCACTTCCAAAGGAATCACCAGCTCTGAACTTCTTATCTGTGTTGAACATCAGTCCTGGTGATGCCCCAGAACTGAGATTTGAGGCTCTCAAGCCTGACCTCTTCATTGAATCATGAATGCTATCTGAGAGGTTCAAGTTGCTCATAATGTTTAATTGATATTCCTTCTCCTTTAATAAGAAAGTCTGGAAATCTGACCCTTGGTATCTTGTCCTCTTGTAATCAGAAATTGGTCTAGTCTTTCTGATTGGCATATAGCTTGCTACTGAAGGAGGAGCAGAAGGTAAATTTGCATCCTAACAATTTAAAGAACTAACTTACAGGAGGATTGAAAGCTTTCAATTGAGGTGGCTTAATGTCAACTTTGAAATCTAGAGGTCTTTTAATGGCCCACATTTGTTGAGCAATATCTCCTCTATCTTTTATGTAATCAGATCTGACAAGTTCTAAAGCTCTTTGCTTTGTGTCTAACTCACCCATCATTTCCAGATGTCTCATTTTCTCAGTTTTTATTACAGCTTTCTCTCTTGCAATGATATCCCTAGACTGTTCCAACTCTTTTCTCATTGAATCAAAGTTTGACTTGAAGTTAGCGATTCTCTCAGATTCTTGCTGTACCATTAAAGAGTATTGGTGAACTTTCATGGCTTCATCTTCAAACTTGTCCTTCTCTTCATCATACACATCAGTTCGGGTTTTTATCTGATTATATTTTTCATTAATAACCTCCTCTCTTTGTGCGTATTCAGCTCTTCTCTGTTCATAGTCAAGCTCTTCTTGAGTAATTTCATGATCGAGTTGTTCTAAGTCTCCCATCTTTCTTTCCTGATTACTTCTCTCCATTTGGATAAGCTCGAATAGATTCTGGCGATCAGACACAACTATCTTTCGCTCCAGTTCCAGAGCATTTATTTTATCGTCATACTCAGCTTGCTTCTCCTGGATTTCTTTGTTGATTCTCTGAAGATTTATCTCAGCTTCTTGTTGCTTCAACTCAGTCTCATCGACAACTCGTTTATAGTGAGTTTCTTCTTGCCTCAGATTCTCCTGGGTAAGCTCAACTTCTCTTCCCTGATCCTGCTTAATTACTTCAATTTTGACTCTGAAATTCTGGATTTCTTTTTCTGTATTGAGGATTCTCTTCTCAGTTTCACTAGTTTCATACTGTATATTTCTAAGTTTATCGGCCAGTTCTCTTTCTCGTTTGTCTCATTCTTCAATCTGTAATTGAATTCCTCTAGTCTTATCTTCGGATAAATGAGTCAAAGTAGTTTCAATGTTGCTAGAGGAAGTCTTCACTTGCTCCAGCATCTTATTTAGTTCTATTTGTTGCTTCAGCTGGTTTTCAAAGACTGAGTTCTGGTCAGAGTATATGTCTTTCTGCCTTGCGAGTTCGATCTCATTCTGCTTCTTTTTGTTTTCCAGCTCGGTCTTATTGATCATCTCGAGTTTATCTCTTTCCTGTTTTATACTAAGGTACATGTCATCGGATAATTTTTTGATTTCTCTATTGTGAGTCTCAAGCATTTTGTTATAATGTGATTCAAGGTTGAGAATGTCCTTCGTTTGCTCTAGCTTTAGTTCATCTATTTCTTTCTTCATCCTTTTCTCCATTGTTAGGGTTTTCTCTCTAGCTTCTTCAAGATCAAGCTTGGCTCTGGTAAGATCATCAAGAGGAATCGATTTTTCTTTATTATCTCCAAGTGTTTGTTTTGATGATTTATTAACTGGAAGAACCCCTATTGAGGATTTTAGGGCAACACTTCCAGATGCCACCATATTTTTGTTAGGCTGATTAGGATTTGGAAGATTCGAATATGAACCAAAGTTTCCATCAGTTCTATCATAAGGGGAGCTAGAGTCCCTAATTCCCTTCTGGAAGGCACTACTACCTCCAGCCGTGACCATCTTCTTCCTACCTCTTGAAAGTGGGGTTATTTCATCAGAGTCCTCGCTTTTTCCTCTGCTCTTTGAATCATCTTGACGGTTTTTCGAGACTGTTGAAGGTACATATCCTACACCCTCTCCTGAGAAAATATCATCTTCATCAAAGTCTTCAACTCCAATGTTGGGTTTCTTTGTCTTAGTGGGTGTGATATTTTGCTTTCCCCTAGCTTTGGAAGGGTCTGGAGCATCCATCATCGCTAGAATAGATTCTCCATCATCTCTTTCAAATTCGTCATCTTCATCGTCGTCATCTTGATTGATTAAATAAGGAGGGTTCTGACTAGCAGGTCTCGGTGGCTTCTTTTTGGTAGAAGTAGTATTGTTGTTATCAAATATTGGAGGAGGATCAACATGGGAATCAAACCTATTACTCCCACTTCTGTTGATTCCAACATCTGTAGTTTTTGATCTATTAGCAGGTTTAGCAACAGAAGTTCCTCCAGTCCCGCCAGGAGTCTTTCTCTTTGCCATTCTTCTTGATTTATTTGTTGTCAAAACTCCAATTGGAGAAGAATCTATCACACTTGTGTTCCCACCAGGAGCATTGCCTTGCGATGATGTAGTTTGGTTATGGTCTATCCTTCTGTCTCCATCATCTGGAGAAACCTGAGATCTTGCTCCAAAATTTAATTTTTGAACTCCGCTTCTACCTTCTGAACTCCCTGATAATCCAAATAGTGCTTTCTTCTTCTGATCCATTTCCATCTTTTTAACACTAGAATGCATAGGACTCTGACTGAGTCCAGTTTGAGATGAATGCTTTGGTACATTTCTTCTACCTGGTCGATCATCTCCTGGTCTTGGTCTTCTTCCTGGGTCTGGCTCTCCAAGTAAAGCATCAATTTCATCTTTCGGGGATGGAGGATCTTCAGGCTCTTCCTTATCATCTTTACCAAGAACAGAATCTATAAGGTTGTCGAACTCATCATCGTCATCATCCTTCTTTCTTGATCTAGACCTTTGAGACCCTTTAGAGTATGCACTGCCTCCAAAATTTCCACTTCCCATTCCTCCAAAGGTTGGCATGTGCCTAGGGCCAGCAGGGCTGCCTTTATCAAACACTGAATTATTTTCTGGCTCCCCGAAGTTAAAATCATCTTCAAGGACAGGAGATTGCTTCTTTACTGCCCATGGATCCGCCTTTGCTGAACTAGGAGGCTTCCGTGCACTATTTTGGTTACTTCTTGATCCAAAAGTGTCTACTGCTGGCTTTGGTTCGTTTGAAGACATTCCCCACAAATCATCATTTTTGCTTTCTAAATTTAAATAATTAAAATGGCTCCACCTCAGAAAGATGAACTTGGCCTGACTAAAACCAATTTTGGAAAGCAATCAAAGAGGTAAATCAACAATGTTAAGGTTTCTTCAAACCAGGATATGATGAAGATTGTGCTAAGTATCATAAGCTGTGTTTTGCCATCATGCTACACTCGATTCTCCAGAATGCTTTTTGAAACTTAAAAAGCCGTATAAAACTCTACTTCATTGAAGTATCCAACTGATGAAGAGAATATAGCTCTGGATCTTGCTTTGTTAATATTAATATTTATCTAAGAGCTAGTTAGATGCTTACCAGGTTTAGTATTAATGCCTCTCTTTTCTTCTAAGTCATCAAGAAGGTCATCTAAGTCGTCCATATTAAATATTTCTATTTGGAATAAGAAATAAGGGGTTTTGGGGTTTTGGGGTTTTGGGGTTTTGGGG